TCCGTTCCGGGTTTTGAACTCGCGGGAGATCGTACTGGTTTTGCGCTGCGTCGCGCGCTGCGCAGCTACCCCTAATTTTTTACTATGATATAAATTTTTGTAATAATCGACCAATTCAGTTAAGTTATCGATTTTGATATAATAGATTCAATAATGATAAATTGAAATTTAAGATCAAATATCTAATATACATATTACATATATGACAACAAAAACTAAGCTAACAAGGGTCGCTACTACACTAAAATCCAATACAAGTACTACTAAATTTAATAATATCTTTTCTTTACACCCTAGTTAGCAGGCTTCGATTGAGGCATGGATTGATTTGGTCCGAGAATAGGGTCAATTTGAGCTCTAGAATACGTCACGAATTTCTTTATACAGAATCACAGGATTTGGTCACTATTTCCAATCGTTATTACAGATTTTAATTATGGGGGAATCACAAGTTAAATACTCTGATTTCTTTAACTTGGAACTTCCAACTCAAGGGAGTTATTCTTTATTTACAGCGAAATACTTGCGTTTAAATACATTTTACACTATACTAATTTACTATGGATTTTTCTGCCGTTACGACCATATTTGTCAGAACTGTCAGTTCTGCCATTTCTGCCATTTCTGACAGTTCTGTCGGTAATGACAGTTTTGGTAGATTTCAACCGTATTTAGTTAGATCGGCCGAACCACCTCGATTTTCGACCTGACGAAATTTCCCTCTCACATCGTACCACCAGAATAATTCAGGTTATTTTGATAGTGATTGCATCATCATCATCAAATAACGAAGTTATTTGATGATGACGAATTATTCTGTTCAAAATGTACGTACAATAAATACGCATATATAGAAAATCAATTACAAACAACGATCTACCCTTTTACGCTGTTTGTATTAACGTTAGTACGAACGTTAGTATTCATGTTAGTACGAACGTTAGTATTAATGTTGGTACGAACGTTAGTTTTAATGTTAGTACGAACGTTAATATTAACATTAGTAAAGACGTTAGTATTAAGGTTAGTACGAACTTTAGTATTAACGTTAGTACGAACTTTAGTGTTAACGTTAGTACGAACGTTAGTACTAACGTTGAAAATTTACCCGTACAATTAAATTGCGAATATCCTGTATTAGTTCGAAATTACGAAAAAAGATTTTCTTCAGTAAAAAATATAAATAGACACACGGAAAGTTAAATATAATTTTAACAATCATAATAATAATAAATACATAATAAATACATAGCACATAGAAATTTGAACATAACAATCACGAATCCGAAATATATTGTTTCATTTACTTTGCTTATATTTTTATTCGTTATGTATGCTGAGGCGGGTTATTTTTGTGAACCTTTGTCTTTTTGTTGGCCTAATGAAAAAGGTTGTAATAATAAATTCGGTGGTATGTTAATTTTAAGACCAATCTTTATTTAT